GAAAACTATCAGGGAGCCTGATAACTTATAGACCGTGTAAAATATCAGCAGCGGACAATTTGAACAACACAAGCTGAAGTTTTATTCAAGGCAGTAACATCAATGAAGTCCAGAACAGAGACCATTAAAAGAAAGGGGGAATTACACGATATAACTACAATGTGATTTAGGTTTGCAAATAAATCCAAGATTAGGGATCTAATAAAACAGTTTCGGAGTCCACTTTACATTCAATTTCAGCACATTCTTGTTTGTGTGGCAGATCTAGAAATTCAAAATTGGAGGTTCAAAATTTTAATATACCCATTTTAAAAAAATATTAGGTATGCAAATTTTTTTCTCCTTCCCTTAACACTTTAAATTAATTTTTACATATTGTTTTTCCAAAATAATGAGGATGCACTTGCTCCCCTAAAGAGCCAAATGCAATTCAGGGAGAAGCTGCCTGAGAAATGCCCTCTAGCACATAGGTCCAAAGACATCAAAAATTTCATACACCCATTATCCAAAGGAAAAAAGATTATTGTGAAACTTTGCCAGCTAGCGTAAAGCTATTAACAACAAAACTAAACAACTCAAATTTACTTCTTTCCTGTATATGTTTATTGATCTGTGCTAATCATGTCTTAATTCCAAAGTATTGGTATTTAATTAGAACATTAATTTCTTATTTTAACCACGCTGAACAGTAAAAGCAATAATTAATCAATTATTCACAAGATCACCTTAATGCTTTCTAATTCCATTACCCAGAAGTCAAAACATAACAAAAAAGCAACTACATTTACACTATAACAATTAACAATACATCAAGAACGCATATCTTAAAATAAAAGAAATTGAGATGAACCTGGAGGCCACCGTCATGGGAATCGCAGGGGAGGAGGACTGGACCGTGTTGGGGACGAGCGGCGGAAACCTGAATAGGGACGGTAAAATCCCCTCCGAGGAAGCCCTGTTTCTTGGAAAACAGGAGGGTTGGTGGGTGTTTGGGTATTGTTGTGAGGATCGTTTTCTTGGTCTTTCACTTCCTGGATGTCGTCCCTGGCAATGCCCAGAAGCCCCGCCAATCTTCTAAAGAATCGCATAATCAAAGATCGAATTTTTATTCGATTGTCGACCTCAGCTAAGCTAAGCTAAGCAAATGGAAAATCAAATGGAAAATGAAATCTAGGATTTGAGGCAAAAGAGGGCGGGAGAGAAACGTAAGGGTCGGGTCTGGTTCGAAGTGATTTACAAATATATACAGAAAAAATCGTAAGGTTAATCTGTCATTAAGTAATTAGTTATTCATTAAAGGAATCAAAGAAATGTTAAAATATGTTCATTTATTTTTTTTTCTGTATTTGTTTTTAAAAGAATTTATTTTTATTGGGTAAATTACAAAAGTAATTTTTTCGTTTTTCTCACTAAAATTTTATAAATAACAAATTAAAAATTAAAATTATCCATTTATAATAAATAGATTATTTCTATCAATTACCGTAAATGCAGTACCAGAATATTGATGTACCTCGTTGACCGGGCACTATATTTTCCTCTGATGTTGAATATAAGTAACAACTTGGCTGAACTCTTTTTCTCTCATATCATTTACCAAGTTCGATCCCAGATTCTTTTGACAACATACCAGATCTTGAACGCATAAATTTCATGGGAAATAATCAAGAAGGTGGAATTACAAAAACCCTGCAGAATTTTTGCAGTTTAAAAGAATTAAACTTAGTGGAGCTCTCACCGTGGATTGTGCCAAGGATTCTCTGGAGATTCTAACGTTGAGCTTTAACTATTTCAATGGGTAGTAATCATTTTCATCGTTGAGAAAACTAGAGGTTGAATATAACCGACTGAGCAGCAGTTTCGGAAATACTTCTGACTCTCATATCATTTACCAAGTTCGATCCCAGATTCTTTTGACACATACCAGATCTTGAACGCATAAATTCATGGGAAATAATCAAGAAGTGGAATTACAAAAACCCTGCAGAATTTTTGCAGTTTAAAAGAATTAACTTAGTGGAGCTCTCACCGTGGATTGTGCCAAGGATCTGGAGATTCTAACGTTGAGCTTTAACTATTTCAATGGGTAGTAATCATTTTCATCGTTGAGAAAACTAGAGGTTGAATATAACCGACTGAGCAGCAGTTTCGGAAATAACTTCTGAAAATTTTCAAGATTCACGGTTTTGGATTTTGACGCGGCCGTTTTTCGGGTAGGCCTGAATTTAGGCTACGACTTAAAAAAATATGGTTAGAGTCGTCGCCGATCATTTTAAAAAATATTTAGGCTGATCGGATATTATCTTACTTGATCTACGTTTCATTAAAAATGTGTCGGGTCCGGGAGTCGGTTACAATCAAAGAATGACTAACACCCTTGTATTGCCCTTTCGGTATCAATTAATTTGTCAGTTGCCTAAGTTGCAAAAAATTTAAAATTCAAATTAAAATTAAAAAATTAAATTCGAATTACTTACCTTTGATTGGTTGAAATTTCTCTTAAAAAGTCAAAAATGTTAACCGAGAAATAATAAATAAGTATTAAATAAATCAAAGAAAAATAAATAAAAAGAAAAAGAAAAATTAAATAAATAAATAAATTTAAAAAAATAAATGAAAAAGGAAAAATAAATAAATAAAAAATATTAAATAGATAAAAATAAGAGAAAATAACCTCAGTGACCGAAAATGCCTTATAATATACGATTTTGACCAACTTTTTTTGAATTTGTCAAAATGACCAAGTAAATCGCATTGCGATCGATAATTCGCAACGCGATCTCCGGTATCGCAAATCAGTTTCCAGATTCGTAACGCGATAGTCGAAGTTCGCATTGCGATTTATTCCAAATTCGTTGCGATAGACGAAGTTCGCGTTGCGATTTATTCCAAATTCGTTGCGATAGACGAAGTTCGCGTTGCGATTCATTCCAAATCGTTGCGATAGTCAAAGTTCGCGTTGCGATTCATTCCAATTCATTGCGATAGGCGAAGTTCGCATTGCGATTCATTCCAAATTCGTTGTGATAGGCGAAGTTCGCGTTGCGATTCATTCCAAATTCGTTGCGATAGGCGAAGTTCGCGTTGTGATTCATTTCAAATTCGTTGTGATAGGCGAAGTTCGCGTTGCGATTCATTCCAAATTCGTTGCGATAGTCCAAATATTGCATTTGTTTCTTAAGAATTTTCTCTAAAAAAATAGAATTCGCGCGGACATGTCGAAGACACGTATTACCATTACCAAGACCACGACCACGACCACGACCCGAGACGGGACGGCGGCGGCGGCGGCGCGCGAGAGTCCCCCTTGTTCTCTATCACTCAACAAGGAAGTGGGAAAGCCAAGCCTTAAATACCATTCCCAATAGTGTTTCCAATACTATGTGGGATTGAGCATTACCAACACTTGTTTCCAATACCATTACCTTCATTGTCTGTAAGAGTTTAATTTTAAAACTAAAAAAATATTTATTCGAATAAATAACTTACCCTTTGAGGACTTTGATGGAAGAAAAATATTAACCAAACAAATGCAAAGGAGACAATGATAGAAGTTTTCAACTGAGGATGCTACGAAAACTAGCTGATAATGACACAAAGGAAACATATCAAGTTGTTTGGTCATCATCTACTCTTTGCAAGTAAGTCAAACATATCGAGTTGTTTGGTCATCATCTACTCTTTGCAAGTAAGTCATTTGAACACTATAAGAACCCGAATCAAATTTAGTTTTAGCAATTACTTCATTTATGATCAAAGTTCTCAAAGGGTAAGTTATTATTCGAATAAATATTTTTTAGTTTCAAAATTAAACTCTTACAACAATGAAGGTAATGGTATTGGAAACAAGTGTTGGTAATGTTCAATCCCACATGGTATTGGAAATACTATTGGGAATGGTATTTAAGGCTTGGCTTTTCCATTTCCTTGTTGAGTGATAGAGAACAAGGGGGACTCTCGCGCGTCGCCGCCGCCGCCGTCCCGTCTCAGGTCGTGGTCGTGGTCGTGGTAATACGTGTCTTCGACCGCGCGAATTCTATCTTTTTAGAGAAAATTCTTAAGAAACAAATGCAATATTTGGACTATCGCAACGAATTTGGAATGAATCGCAACGCGAACTTCGCCTGTCGCAACGAATTTGGAATGAATTGTAACACGAACTTCGCCTGTCGCAACAAATTGGAATGAATCGCAATGCGAACTTCGCCTATCGCAACAAATTGGAATGAATCGCAACGCGAACTTCGCCTATCGCAACGATTTGGAATGAATCGCAACGCGAACTTCGACTATCGTAACGATTTGAAATGAATCGCAATGCGAACTTCGACTATCGCAACGAATTTGGAATGAATCGCAACGCGAACTTCGACTATCGCGTTGCGAATCTGGAAACTGATTTGCGATACCGGAGATCTCGTTGCGAATTATCGATTGCATTACGATTTACTTTGTTATTTTGGCAAATCCAAAAAAAGTTGGTCAAAATCGTATATTACAAGGTATTTTCGGTCACTGAGGTTATTTTCTCTAAAAATAAAAAATAAAAAGTTAAATTTTAAAAATAATAAAATAAAATTAATAATAAAATAATAAAATAAATCAAACATCTATCGCCTTTAATGAAAATAATAATAATAAAAACAAACACCACATATCCCTTATTAATTGTTTCTCAATCCTTCGGCTACTGCAGGTTTCGAAGCCAAGACAAAGGCGACGTTGCAACGGAAGAAAAGCAATGCAAGAAAATCAGAGTTGAAAAGTCTTCTGGCAATGTGAATCCTATTTTAAGCGGCAAACTAAATGACCTGTTGGTGTACCCAGTACTTCCGGTGCAGTTCTCGTGCCTTTATCCGCAGCTTCAGTTCGTGTCGCTCGCCAAATTGCTGAGAAATGGAATGGAAACCAGCTCCGGTCTTCAAATTAACGTGGAAAGCGAGAGAGCCGGGGAAGGAATAATGGAGCAGAGGCCGAAATAAGCATGGCCTGGGAACTTTTTACTTCCGATTTAACTTTGACAAATTGGCTTCTTGAAGCATCTCAGATTCCTGCATTTCTGACTTCGAAACAAAAGAATGGGATACATTCTCCAAACTGCCATTTAGAACTTCGGTGATCGCTGCCGTTATTGCCTCCGCTTGTTTCGATGGCACGCCTTGGGCTTCCAAACTTCGAACCAGAGCTAATGTATCGACGAGAAATGCACGTTTTTCATTGGACTTAACGAGTTCAGAAATCTGTCGATGCCCGACCCTATTCACAAAGGAACTCAAATACGCATTGAATCCAATTGAACCACACGCTTCTAGGCTTTCATCGTTGCTTTGAATCGAAAAGGAAAAAAACTGATGGAGAAGGGACCAAAAAAAAGGAAAACGAAATGGAACTGAGTAGGAGGCCGAAGGAAGAAGAGAAAGAAGGCCAAGAGAGAGAATCCCACTCCCCTTTGTGTTTTTCGTTTGTTCCCCCCCCCCCCCGAAATGTTGATAAGAATCTGTTTAAATATTAAAAACCTCCCCAAATAGCAAAAGTAAATTTGTTTTTTTAGTTAGGGAGAGTAGTGGAAAAAATGGATAGGATTGGAATGGGTGGGGTAAAATTTTAGTAGAGAAAATAAAAATTTACTTAAATATTAATTACCAATTGAGTAGTTTATCTTTTTTATTTTTGAATTTAAAAGTCTTGATTCAATTGGTAGTAATTTTAAAATTTTATTGTTTTATTTAATTATTTTATTATTTGACAATGGACGTTTATACTTACGAGTACGAGGTGTTTAAACTTCAGACCTTAAGAGAATTTATTAACCACTATTAAACTTAGGTTTATTACAACACGAATAAGAAACCTTCATTGGAAAAGAATTATTATTGTTTCTTAGAGTTTTGGGTTCAACCATTATGCATACTAAGAGTGAGTGTTCAAATATCAAATAGTTAAGAGTTATCTTTTAACAAATATTATGTCATACTTGCCTTAGGTTAATAAAAAAACTTGTAATTTTCCTACATTATTTAAAAAATTAATTGCATAATAAATATTAAGAATTTGTTTAATATAAAGAATAAATTAACAAGATAAAAAATCATTTATGATGACTCAAACTAATATTTTTTTAGTAAGAGAGTTAGAGCTTTTAACCACTATACTAGACTAATAAAAATCATATTTAGGTTAAAGGTTGAAACTAATTAAATGTATTTATAAAAATAATTAATTATAACATAAATTATAAAATATTATAAAAATATATTTATAACATTTATTTTTTAATTGTCTTCATAACATTTATTATATCATTAACTAATATTTTATAAAATAAATATTAACTATAAAAATTATAAAATATTACTAAAAATATTTCCATATAAACCAAAAATTGTCCAATGTAGTTTAGGTTAAAGGTTTAAGGTTTTGAACGAAAAAAGAAATTGAACAATCAACCTCTTGCTTCTTCTTCTTAAACTCCATGCTATTCTCCATGTTACCTATCATAGAAGGCAAAACCTATAAAATCCAATAGAGAAACTGATGATGCCTCCCATCGTTTCCCATCATCATCATCATTCCAATTTGGACTCGAATCCCTTGTTTCTTAGCAACGACAACTCCTCTATGATTCTAGATGATCACAACAACAACATAGGTGATAGATATGCGACAATGGATGAATGATGTTGCTCGTTGTTGAGGAATCAAACCTAGAAAGCTCTAGACTCGATCAAAGAACAAGAAAGAAAGATTGATATGTGGGCAGAGAAAATGAGATAGGATGTAGGAATTAGAGTTGCTGGAAAATTGAGACAATTAAAAGATTAAGACAAGAAAAAATAAGAGTATTAAAAAGATCAAGATGACTAAAAACAATAGATAAAATATGATAAGAACTTAGCCTTATTAGGGTTTTTGACCCAAATTGATCATGACACAGAAAGGGACAAATGAATATGTGTTAGATAGATTATCAAATAAGGAATATGAATATAAAAATGGAATTGAAAAAGGATAAATGGATTAAGAGAAAATTGAGTTTGAAATTTTCACCCTAATATGTAGACGATAACGCAAACTTGTGGATAATGTGGAGGTGAGCGTGTAGATGATAGTGATGGAGATAGTGAAAATCGATGTATAAGTTTCCTACAAACCCTCCTAGTCGTAATTAACTAAGAAAACTCAATAATTTGCTCTAACCAACCCTCTTGATGAAAGTTTAATATTACATATTTTTATTATATTTACCTTTCATTTATTGGTTAGATATTACTGATTTATCTTTATTTTGAGTTTATTTTGGAGAGGAAATTCATTGGATTAATTAGCCTAAAAACTAGTAGATTCAACAGTCCATTCAACATTTTATAGAAGACAATCAAAACTTCCTTGAATATTTAATTTGGAATTTACATAGGACAATGTTATCAAGAAGATGAAGAAGATTTTAACTAGAAAACTTAAATTATTTATCTTTTGTAATAAACCTTTTTAATTTAGGATTTTTAGTTTGATTGTTCTATTTTTATTTTATTTAAGAATTAGTTATTTTATTAGAACTCTTCTTAGGATTTTTAATTTGATTATTTTATGAATTAGTTATTTTATTTACTTAAAACTATCAGTTTATAAATACCCCTAAGGTTCAACAGTTGAAATACATATTGAAAATTATTTTTCTTGGTTATTTATTGAAGTTCTATTTTTGTTTCAACTCCACCTTTCTTTCTTTCTTTTCTTTCATTATTTTCTTTTCACAATGTTAAGCATCATCCAATCCATGCTTGGCTAAACTTCTACTTAGCCAAAGGTTTTTGTGAAACTCAATTCCATTCGTGAGAATTGAATCTTGATCTTCATACATTCAGATCGTATTCTTGATTCTCTGGAAATTGGGAGTGGCAATCGGTCATTCTCTTAAAAGTTATTACATCTTCAACTCAAAATGTACATGTTGATTTGAAGACTGTTTTGCTTGAAGTTTGGAAGTCGAATCGGTTGGTCCTAATTCGACTTCATGTGAACAAACTTAGTGGCGGTCCGTTAATGGGAATCAAGATCGAGTTTGATTCTCGGTGAGACGCTATAACACGAGTCGAGCTTTTCCAAAATTTAAAGTTATTTTGGATCTAACGGCGATATATGTGGCTAGACCAACGAAGATCGAATTTCAAAGATAGACTTGGAAATTTTGATTAACGGAGAGAAGAGTTAGTTGCAGAGGTTGGGCCTTGTTATTTGTAACTTGTATACATCACGAAGGGAAAATTTTATTTCAATAAGCAATCGAAATTGAGGCTAAGAAAAACCTTAGGCTATATCATCTTTATTTAATTATTCTACTTTATTTATTTCTCATTATTATTTTTATTCAATATTTATTTATTTATTTTCATTAATTTTTAAACTTCCTTTTTTTTCTTGCAGTTGATTCAATACAAAAAAACATTATCAAACTTCCCTAGTCCCTGTGGATCAACCCTACTTCTCTATATTACTTTATTTATTTATTTATTTGAGAATTAGGAATCATTTTTATTTGGAAAATTCGATGTTTGTTACCTCTTAATCGCATTGAAGAGGCAAACTGGAGTGTGAATATCTCTCTCATGAAGAACTTAAAAAGAACTCAATGAAAAGAAGCTTCAAAGGCACCAATAATCAGCACTTGCAAAGATGAACTCTTAATGTATTGTATTCAAGAAAAGATTATGCAATTACAATGGTAGGAGAAGCATCCTTTATATAGGTTTAGATAAGTCCTTGTTGTAACATGACAAAGTAATAAAATAAGAACAAAAATAACAAATAAAAGCTATCATAATCTAAATGAGATGGGCGGTACAATGTTAGCCATTGATGTAGTTTTTGATCCAATGGTGATGATGAAAACAAGGAGTTTGAAAGCTTGATCAAGTCTTTTAACTTGTAGGATGAGATGAATGACCAGGATGAAGTTTATAAAAGGTGATAGGTGGCATGGCATGTGATAAGCTATTTGGGTTTTATCATTACAATCAAATTACTTTTCTATCCTAAGATGAAAATATTGAAAATTCATAATTAAGTACAAAATATCATATTGATCCCGTATAAGGATTTTTGCACGTGTCGTCTTCACTAAAATGACCATATCTTGATTTTTCGTTATCGGATTGATGCAATTCAAGAAGATAAGAGACAGACAATCGTATCTCTAGAAAAAATGTTAATAATCCCATTCAAAAAGTAGTTGCAAGTCTACTTCTCTGTTGTTCTTATTTTCCAAGGCTTGGTCATATGGATCAATTGGAAGTATTAGTCCATCTTCCTTTGATGTGAGCCTTGTGATGCATGTATCATCCTCACTCTTTTCAAAAGGATTCAACCTCAAATCTAAAACATCAAAGGGAGAAGCGTTAGAACTTTTTAATGATTTACTCACATTAAAATTACCGAATAGATATGATTTGAACCTTCAAGATTTTGTTCTTCTAATTTGTTCAAGTTGAAACATTAGTCCAAATAAGCATGTTTGTCATTATGGACTCTGGTACATGTATCATTCTCCCATTCCTTAAAATGAATCTTCCAATAATATGAAAATCCAAGAGAAATAGAATTAGGTATGTTTAATGGAAAACATGGAAAACACTTACTTGGATCAATGTGATGTCTCTTTAGCACTTTAGTAGAGGTTTCTTCCTTGTTAAAACTGGTTTTTTTATTGACTTGAAATCCTCTTTTGCACTTAAGTCTTGTAACATGACATTTTTGTTTAAATTCAACATGGAGTCGGCCACTGTTGTCTTTTTCTATGATTGATTCATATGTTTTCTCCATGGTTTCACTCATGTGTGGTGAGAATGAGTGTTTAAAAACCATGTCAAGTGGTTCGTGAAAGTAATCCATGAAGTCTCCTAAGTGTGGTTTATTAGCAAAGGATTTTGGTGAGGAGCTTTGTAGACTACATAACTTCTTTAGTTGAAAACAAAACTCGTCTAAAAAATATATAAATCATTAAAAGAACTTTTAAAAGAATGGGTATATATATATCAGAAATCTATAAGTCATCATGAAATGCATCTTTGAAATGTTCAATTCTCAGAATAGTAGTATGCGTTTGAGAGGTAAGAGTACACCTTCGAGATAATGCATTGGCTATAATGTTATCTTTAACTTCTTTGTATTTGATTACGTAAGAAAACGATTCGATAATTTTAACCCATTGAGCATGTTGTTTATTTAACTTACCTTTTCCATTTAACCACTTCAAAAGATTCATGGTCAGAGTGTATGACAAACTCTGTAGGAAGAAGATAGTGTTGCCACACTTCGAGTGCAAGAACTAATGCCAGAAGTTATTTGTCATAAGTAGAGTAATTCAATTATACATCTTTTAGCTTTTTCTAAAGTAAGCGATATGTTGCCTTTCCTGCATAAGAACTACACTTATGGTTATACCTGAAGCATCATGTTTTAGCTCGAAAGTGTTAGAAAAATTAGGAAGATAAAGAATAGAGGCAGAACATAACTCACCTTTAAGAAGTTTGAATGCTTCTTGTTTTTTATGGTCCCCATTTAAATTCAACTGACTTTTTGATGATTTCCGTCAAAGGTGTAGCAATAGTGGAAAAATATTTGATTAAACGACGGTAGAAGCTTTCTAAGCCATGAAAGAATCTTACCTCAGTTATGGGAGATGGCGTGGGCCATTCTTCAATTGCTTTCACCTTGTCATCATCAACATGGATCCCCTGTGCATTTATTATGAAGCCTATGACATGGTTTTAATTCTTGTTTTGTCATTGAGATGACCCAATGACTAAGGATTTCCCACATGTACCCTTTCGCAGTAAATTTAACTCTTTCAAGCTGATAGACAAGTCCTCAAATTTGTTTATCAAACTCAAAAAATTGTTAAAATCAACCCTAACTTCATTTGCATTTTATGGATTTTTTAATTTCTTTTGGTTTTTCTCTTTTTTTGTTTATTTCTTTTCTTTCTGATAAAAATAGAAAGCTAATAAGAAGAAATTAAAACAAAATTAAAATAATGTAAAAATAACCTGAATATTATTAATCTTTGAGAACAAGCTCCATTGGAGTACCTTGGCAGTGTATGCTTGCAAGAACAATCAAAATAATATAATACCAATTGATAGAGATGTGGCATTAGATGAAGGATATTCCCTGTTATTGAGGAATCAAACCTAGAAAGCTTTAGATTCAATCACAGAACGAGAGAGAAATATCGATATGTGGGTAGCTAAAAGGAGATATGATTATTGGAAATTGAGACAATTGATAGATTAAGGCAAAGAAAAATAAGGGTAATAAAAAGATAAATATAAATAAAGGTAATGGATAAGATAAGATAAGAAAAATTTAGCCAAATTGGTGTTTTAAGCTAAATTGATTCTGACACAAAATAAGACAAATGAATAGGCATTAAATATAAATTTGAAAATAGAATAGAGAAAGGATAAATGAATTAAGAGAAAAATAAG